TGTCCGAGCGGATCGAATCCCGCTCGTGTCATTGACTTTTTTATCTCGACTAAAAACCTTAATTAATTGTAATATGTTAATTCGTCAAGCGGACTACGAAATTAGTGAATTTACCAAAAATATTGCTATGGGAACAATAAAGAAAATATTCAATTCAGTACGGAGTATTTCTTCCTCTTGCGTTGATCTCCGCTTGCTCGATTGAGGTTTAGGTAGAATATTTTCATACTCCTCCTACAGCTGAATTCTTAATTCCTGCAAATTCTCTGGGATCACTGGGCGACTTTTTGCCGTCTTTGACAACTCGTCCCAAAAGTGTACGATATTGTTTAAGTCGGGACTACATTCTGGCCACTCCAAACAATGAATTTAAGACCGTTCAAGGTGATCACCAATGATCCTAGATGTGCGGGGCTTTGCATTGTCATGCATAAAAATAAAACCAATTAGTGCGTATCAGGAACAACTTCTGATAACACATCTTCAGTGTATCGCCTAGCTGTTAAGGTGGCCATTCACGATCGCTCCTAGCAGTCCAAACGGAGCGACGCCATTCCAAAAACCACGTCAATGGCAAAACTGAACTGGCGTGCCCGGCTGTGCCGAATATTCGACCGGTCCAAACTCCATCGCGCCACTCCAAATATCTTCGTGGTGTTCGTGAATGGAAAAACCTGGCATGGAGGGTGGGGATTTTGGCGCGCTGGCCTGGTCGTGAATGGGAAAACTCGTTTTTTGGCGCAGTCTCCGTCTTTCTGTCACTGAGCAAACATCTCCGTCGTACATTCTCAAAAAGTCAAAAACGTTTATTCTTTATTGGTAATGACATCCAATCGAGATTTTATTGTATGAAAGTTTACCATGTTTATGAAAGTGGTGGACAATGATTATATTACCACGATAGAAATAAAAGAAATTCGATCATCAACCAGTTGGTCGACAAAGGATCAAAACAAAGGATACAAATGCAATGAGAGATGCGGTATTGATAACCCCTAACAATGTTCAGAAACCGTAGTAGAGAACTTATTGTAAGTTCTTTTTGGTTCATCCCTGTAGCGAGAAATCGTAATTTGGTTGCCAACCTTTCATGTAGTGATGATTTCTCTCATGACTGTCTTTTGTTTTCTAATCAAGGGGGTAACAAGCTGGAGTAAATATAAATAAGACCTTAATCTTTTTTGTAAGGTTTTGGTTGAAATGAAAAAATAGTGCCACAAGGGGATTCGAATCCACGACATTCGGCTAAATACGCGCTGCGCTAACCACTTGAGCTATCCTGACTTCGATCCACTCTGGCACCAACTCCCCATCTCAACCTACAACCTTTCGAATTTTCTCACTTTTTGCCATTTTTTGGCGTCGGAGAGGATCGAAGTCACGATAGCTCAGGTGGTAGAGCAGCGGCGTATTTAGCCGAAGGCCATGGATTCAGATCCCGCTCGTGGCACTAGCTTTTTCATTTCAACCAAAACCTTACAAAAAAGATTAAATAATTGAAAGAAGTAATTTGGTCAATAGAACACTAAATATAATGAATAAATAAGACGTTTCATCCATCCTTAAATAGTTCCTCCAATCAGCGGGTTCAAGGGAAAGTTCTTTCATCAAATTGTTGTGGGTATTACGGCTTCTGTTCAGGAGCCACTTCTTACACCATTTTCTCTTCGATTTTTTGCTTTTAATATGTAAATAAACAGAAGAGTAGCACAAGAGATCCATTTTGAGAAGGTAATTCACTGGTTGACGTTCGGAGCGACTGGCTGTGGAGCGGTCGTGAATGCCCCCCACTCCAAATGGAGCTGTACGGCTTGGCGCGGTTTCATTTGGAGTGATCGTGAATGGCCACCTTTAGGGAACCCTCGATGGAGTTCAAGATTATGCGTCCTTCCATAGAAATGCCTGTCCAAACTTTAGAACCACACAGAATAGCTTCTCCGGAGTGAAAATATTGCGAGACATATCGCTCTCTTGTTCTTCTCCAATCTTTTTCTGACCAATTGATGTCAGTTCTTGCGAAACTTAACCGAACTATTCTGTGCCTTGTCAGAAGTTCTGGACAAGTGGCAGGCCTTCTCGCACGTAACACTGAAAGTCTTCGCCTTAAAGTGCGTAAACTGTCATTAACATTTCTGGCTTGTTAAAATCGTTGATTGATCTTAAAAGCGATAGAATCTCGATACTGAAAACACATCTTCAATGTATCGCCCTGCTGTTAGGGAACCCTCGATGAAGTTCATGTTTGTGCGACCTTCCATAGAAATGCCTGCGCAAACCTTAACACCACACAGAATAGCTGAAGTGAAAATGTTGCGAGATATATCGCTCTCCTGGTCTTCTCCAACCTTTCTCAGACCTGAATTTGTCATTTCTTGCGAAACTTAACCGAGCTATTCTGTGCCTTGTCAGAAGTTGCGGACAAGTGACAGACCTTCTCGCATGTAATCCAGCATCTGAAAGTCTTCGCGTCAAAGTTTCTAACTTGTTGAAATCCTTGCTTGATGGTAGAATCTCGATTATGAAGTACCTTCAAAACAATAAAATTATCTCTCTGAGATGTGAAAGGATGGCGATCTGATTCTTGCCTTTTTGAGTAAGCTCCAGTATCTTTGGAGCGAAGGAAGACCCTTCAGACTTGTTCTGCTGGGAATGTTAATCACCCTGGCCACATATGCTTGACTTGTTCCATCTTCCAACTATTCTAGCCTAATCTGTATCACTTTAAACCATCACACAACAAAAAATGGTACAATTTAAAAAAAAAATCAAACCACCAGAACTTGAGAAAGAAATTTTACTGAAAAACCAACCATGAAAACATTTATTTACAAAATCCAATTGTAAATACAATTGGGAGATTTTATCTGTGCTTTACTTACCTCTAATCCTTTAAAACGGGCCAAATGTTGTAAGATAATCAATGGAGGATTCAAATCAAAGGAGAGATAATTAAAAATATTAAGGGTGGTCCCTTTTTTTTGACTCTAAGTGTAGTTTGAGAAATATTCCCCGTGTATTTTAATGAAAAAACTAGTGCCCGTGATGCCATAATGGCCGAATGTTGGCGGTATTAGTGAAGGTGCAAATATTTGTGGAAAGTGTAGGCTGGTTGCGGTTTGAGGAGGACCCCTGCTCTGCTACATCTGGGGTAAGTAAATTCCTTATTTTACACCCCGAGGCAAGATTAAATTTGTGAATATAAAAAAATACGATTTAAAAAATGGAAATGCAAAGCCCCCGATGTAGCTGCAGAGGTCGTCCTCGTACCTTAATTATCTCCGGCCAGTTCTTGCTTAATTTCTCTCTCGTTTATTGGAAATGCGAAGGATCTTTCGTTCACTTTGTTCATCATGAAAGTCAAAAAGGTTCAATTGCCAATTAACAGTCATAATTATAAAAGAGGCTTTGCATTTTCATACTGTAGTTTTTTTTATTAATTTGAGTTCCAATTATAGTACTTTTTGATCTGAAATCTGTAACGGGCAAACTTTTCCATTTATTTAACAAATCTACCGTAATGACAGAACAGATGATTGCGTCTCGTTTTAAAACTGTGAATTTTTGACAATATTTTCACAAATTATTTCACAAAGCAGAGGGTTCTACCTAATTTTTTTTTTTTAGTTTATAACTTAGGTTAAAACACCCTTCTAATTATGGTATAGCAATTCCCACTTTATTCAAAAGTTAGCTCAATTAATGGTAAACAAATTAAATTAAATATTAATGAAAACTTAAATGTAATCTCATTTTCATAATAAACTCCCAATTTGGGAAAGACCAAAGTAATGCTCTCTACATGCTCTCTGCTCCTCTACCACTTGAGCTATCGTGACTTCGATCCCTCGGACACCAACTTCCCACTTCAAACTCACCTCTCGAATTGAAAAATGGCAAAAAGGAGGGAAAATTCGAGAGGTGGGTTGGGATGGGAAGTTGGTGTCCGAGCGGATCGAAGTCACGATAGCTCAAGTGGTAGAATAGCGGCGTATTTAGCCAAAGGTCGTGGGTTCGAATCCCGCTCGTGGCGCTGACTTTTTTTTATCTCAACCAATTCCTTTCATAAATATTAATTAATTGAAAAATGTTAATTGGTCAATCGAACCACGAACTGTAATGGATGTAATGCAATATAATCATTTTTCATTATAAGAGGAAATTTATTGGCAACTTACATAGGTTTTTTCTTAATATGTCGTTTGTTAGATTCCAGTAATTTTTGGTCTGCCTTTTCATCTGGCGAGGATTGGAAGACAGAAAATGTTCGAAAAAGACCAAAGTGCATTCATCACCAAGCAGACCCCAAGAAGAAAGCTCAAATATTAATACATTTAAGAATGGAAAAGTTTGCTCTATCTGGCTTTGGAACTCTTTATCACACATGAAACATTAAACATTATTTGTTATTCAGATATAGTGAGATGCGGTCGGGTGTGATGTAGGTTTCAGAAAAACATTTTCTTTAACGTGCCAACGTTTCGATCTTTATTGAGATCATCTTCAGGGCCTGGGATTTACAAACAATGTTTACATTTAACAAATACGTTTAGGATTTGGAAAAGTGAATTTATACAATGCAAAATATATTTTATATTGAAACAAAGTATTTCTATTCATTCAAAGTGTTTGTCTTCTGTGTAATTGTGCCATCCTTGCGTGTCGTGTTGAGAGTGCCAGTGAGATTTTGCTGTTTTATGTTTATATATGTTTGGTTTGGAAGGGGTGGGGAAGGAAGTCGGTATATAAAAGACAATTTTGTGTAAGGTGTTGGCTTCTTTGAAGTTGGCCCGATAAAGAAAATGTTTTTCTGAAACCTACATTACACCAGACCGCATCTCAAGATATCTGAATAACTATCGATTAACGGTCACTAATCTCTACACATTAAACATTATGTATAATCAAAGCATTGGAACTTTTTAGGTGTGGAAAATTAGTATAGTTGTCATCATAAGCATATTCCAATGAATTAAACGAATTTATTTGTTTTTCTGTTTCAGCCCAATAATTGTGATGACTCATTATTCTCGGAAGACGGAATATTTCGACGGTTCTATGGTTCCGACGTGCCTGACAGAAGCGACGACCTTCTGGCCTGAGCTGTTCTTCTTTATGATCATCTCTCTTTTTTTCATCCTGCCCTTAGGCGTACTGATCGTGCTGTACACAGTGATAGCCCGGCATCTCATGGCCGATTCTGGCACGTCCAACAGCAGCGACGGATTCAACCAGAGGGCCAGGAAGCAAGTCGTGCTCATGCTGGGCACGGTGGTGCTTTCGTTCTTCACCTGCCTCTTCCCGTTCAAGGTCTTCACGCTCTGGGTCATAATAGTCCCTCGGGAGTACAACATGCGCCTGGGGGTCGAGAGATACTACAACATCCTCTACTTCTGCAGGATCATGCATTACTTGAACTCGGCAATCAACCCTATCCTGTACAACCTGATGTCGTCCAAGTTCAGGCACGGTTTCAAACGCCTCATCGGAATAAGGAGGAAAAGGCACATCCTCATTCTGAGGAACAGGACGACCATGAGCACATCTCTAAACTCCAGCACCAGGTTCAGAGGCTCGCCTGACTTTTCCTGGAGGGATTCGTCTTTGGATTCAAGGCATACCAACGGGTCCATAAGGCGCAGCGTCATCCTCAGGAGTTCTTTACTTAGAAACGAATCTAATAGAAAAAGCAGAGAATCAATTCCTACTCATACTGATAGCTATGTTTAGAAACACACAAAATCCATTTTTTTATTCATCTAAGTCACCTGGAGATTCAAATCAAGGAATTGATTTTAATCAGGCCCAGATTTTTATCATTTAAAACTAAATTTCCAATCTACTATTTTTTGTTCACTTGTCTGTTCGAAATCAACCGTATTTTGAATTCTCATCATCATCAGTTCTTAAATTGTCCAAGCAAGAAAATATTATTACCAAAAATTATAAAAGCTTCTATTTAATAAATTCTGAGCTTAACTATCATATACAAATAATTTTTTACACATTAAATATTACAGGTTAATCTGATGGTGTTTGTAATCGTGCTTGGAAAGCAGTTAGAGGTTTTTCACATCACAGTCAATAAAATAAGAAACAAAACTGTTTCAAAAATTTTGATATTCATTCCAATTACGAAACTTTATATAATCAGACTTAAAAACAGATAATTGAACGTCCTGGCAAGGTAGGGAACAGATGTAAGATTTTAGGTTAAAATCTTTTTATGCAAGAAAACTGAACAAAAAAAGTCTTCATAATGAACTAATTATCAACCTAAGAATAGTTCGGTTTGAAAGTATGTAATAGAAAATAAAAGTTATTCATACTTGTCCATTGTGAAATAAAGTTAAAGGCTGACTACATGTCCAATCATCGTCGGGTCCAATTGGACGGACAAGGCGATGTCGAAACCAGGGTTAAAATGACGTTTTCATAATATCGCCGCCTCCTGGAGAAACTTTCGGCCTGGAACTGTCCAAGTCATTACCCTCTAAGTTTGTTAAGCAATTTAAAAAGAGGCTCCTGGAAAGTGATTTATCTCCGAGACCCCGAGAATTAACTTCTTTTGTTAGTACCGAGGACATATTTTTTCCGACAAAAAGGGAGAAAAAGATCACTTTCATATTAAAACGCCAGTAAATGGCTGTAATGCAAACACGATTAAACGACTTTTTTTCTCCGGGTCTGTAATTAATCCAATCGGATGACGGCCGTTCTTCTTATTTTTTGGCAACGGTTTCATTTATTATTCAATTTGCAGAGATTTGCCCCTGTTAGGACCGTTTCATTCCAAATCATAAGCTATTAGGAGAACAATACGGCAAAGAAGGGAAAAAGTAAGCGCCCCGGAACTGGAAAATAACTGTTATTTATTAGAATCTACATATTTAAAAGCACTTATGCTAATCTCGAATTATGCAAAATGGAAGAGCCCGTTTGAGTAAATTGCTAGATATCCATTCAAGACGTGATGTAAGCCTTCTTCCCGCATTGCTAAGGAGACAGTAACAAGCTATAACTTGTGACTAATATCCGTGCCAGGCTTTAAATAAATTAGTATACATCTCGACCTGATTTGCATCTGAAAGTGGACGGGAACGGTATTCGTAACAAAAAGTGTTTCGATCACGTTGAAGAGGATGCTGCGTACGACGCGACCATAAAGCGCGAAGCCGTTTGAAACCGGCTAAAGAAAAAAAAACCAAGCATTCTTCCGTGAGTTATTTATGAACTTGGCCTTCCGTAAAAGTTTTCGCTTCTATTCTTATTCCTTATACGATACACGGTATTTTTAGCTAAATATTTTTATAAGACATGAATATGGATCTTCCAGTTTTGATAAAAGGCAAATTCTATAATCAAATAGTCAATTTTTATCGAATGGTGCCAAAAATAGCTTAGCTTTACTTAGCCTTTTTCTAGTGCCTCTTTTTTTAAATAATTAATTATGACATTTGCATCTTTTTAATATTTAGTGCGACTAGTCAAACGTAAGTCGGATTTTTGTATTATTCATATTTTTCAAAAAAAAGAAAAACTGTATGTAACGACGATATTTCTATTATTTATTTACGTGTACTTCATATTTTAATCGTTGTTTTTTTTTCCTACAAACTAAATGTATTTGTATTATACCAAAGAATACTTTTTGTTTTGAGGGCCTAAGCCAGTTTAGTGCTCCTGGGGTGAGCGAAGAAGTTTATTATACTTAAATAAAAAATTAACGTAGCGTTTTTTGTTTTTGTTTTTTTTTGTACATAAATATGTTGTGCTTATGTTGTAAAAATACATACTAGTCTATTCTTCACAATCAGCGTTTTGCTTAATATCCCAAAACCCGAATCCGTTAAAGAAACAGACATTTTACACCTTCCCGAACAACTCATCAGAACACAAAGTTTATAGCACAGTTTTAACTCTCCTTAGAACTCGTTAACTTGTAAGTTATTTCAACCAAATCCAACTAAATGGCAGAACAGAATGATTGTGGATAGGTCCGACTTTTGACTCTCCCAGAATGGCCATGGCATTTGGGTCATGCAGATTTAGCGAGTCAACCCTGCAGAATGGAACATGTCCTATTCCACTATATACATTGCAAAAAAACTGATTACCTCTAAAATTCTTCCAAGTTGGCCACGAGAAATAAAAGGCTGATAAATGCATTTCACAAAGCCGTGACTGATATTGGGGCAAACATATGTTCATGCATGCACATATATGTCCTGAGCTTATAAAATTAGCTACATCCATGGACCTTCAACATATAGGTCATTTAAATCCTCGACAAATTCAGTTTTTACATCTAAACACACCACTCGTTCACTCCTGAAATACCCTCTTTCCTATTGTCATACCAAACACTCAAGTAGGGTGGTGGGTCGTAGATGTTTACGGTCGATGTTATCGTCTTGAAGGTACGTTAGTGTTTTTTTGGAGGATAAAATTTATTTATCTCACTATTAGTTTAAAATTTAGAATTAATGAAAGACCCTGAGCCAAAACTAGAACTCTACATCTTTAACTCACTTTAACTACCTTTTTCACGACCAGCCATCTATCATTAGGAGGTGTTCTTCGAGGAAGAAAAGAAGTAAGAAAAAAGAAAACTTAAAATATTTATTTAGAAATCGTGAGATGCGGTCTGGTGTGATGTAGGTTTCAGAAAAACATTTTCTTTATCGTGCCAACGTTTCGATCTTTATTGAGANTGGTAGAGCAGCGGCGTATCTAGCCGAAGGTCGTGGGTTCGAATCCCTCTCGTGCCATTAACTTTTTTTCATCTCAACTAAAAACCTTAATTAATTGTCATAATACATACAATTTTTACATTGTTTAAATTTTACAAATACATATAGGATGTGAAAAAAATTAATTTATGTAACGCTAGAAAATTTTAGATTAAAAAAATGAATTTATACAATGCTAGAAAATTTTAGCTTAATCTATCTAATTAAATTTCTAAAAATTAATATAAATTATTTTTTCTAAAAATTAATCTAAAATTGTCTATCATTGTATAAATTCATTTTTTTTATAAACTTATTTTTTTAATAAGAAATAAATGAATTTAGCATCGTATAAATTCTTCTTTTTTTTAATTTTCTAGCATTGTATAATTTCATTTTGTTTTAAACTAAAATTTTCTAGCATTGTATAAATTCATTTTTTTCACATTCTACGTGTATTTGTAAAATTTAAACAATGTTCATAAATCCCAGGCCCTGAAGATGATCTCAACAAAGATCGAAACGTTGGCACGATAAAGAAAATGTTTTTCTAAAACCCTCGTCACACCAGACCGCATCTCACGATCTCCGAATAATCTTAACTAACGGTTACTGAACACCGCACAAAAATATGTAAAAAGATTATTGAAAAAAGTTCTCCTAGTATCCAATACCAAGTATCACCAAATTAAATTAAAATTGGTGATCCCAAGTCCGTGCCTCATTAGTCAGACGAATATAACCCACGCTGAAAAACAAAGATACATACACACCCAGTTATCATGAATGATTTAGTTTACTTCACCTGGCATCCCAAGCCTCTTCTCTTTCCATGCCATTTTTCTTATTAACCAAAAACTATGTCCGTTTTAAATTATATATCTCAAAAATAGTCGGCACGAGAGTAAAGGATTTTTCCAAAATTTTATGGATTTGTCTAAAGGGGATCTCATGGGGGACGGTTTCTTCCTTATAAAGGCTCAGCCGAGCTTGTCGAGCGTGTAGGGAATAAATCAAAATGTTTTGCACAGGCGCCGAGAAAGCTTTTAATGAACGAGCAAGATGTAAAACAAGACACCGACGCCTTTTCCTAATACTAATATTAACTATGTCAAGCCGTAATAAACCGTTCTTTCGCCGTTCCCAAATCCGGCAAAAACGTGGCACAAATCATTTCTGTTTCCGAGGCCGGATAAGCGTTCGGAAGGATTCATCACACCAGAGTTTCTTAAATTTTACAATATTCTGCTTTTGTTGATTCGCCGTTGATATAAGTCGAATCTTTTGTCCCAGGCGATTGAATTTCGCAGCTGGGCTTGTTTTTGATTACGGACATTTCCTACCTACTGATTATTATTGTCATCCTTCGAAGCACAGACCGATACTTCCGAGTCATTGAAGAGTCGGCGTCTTCCTCAACCTTCTCCTCGCTGGTGTACCAGGTGTACACAGCTGACCTCCCATCCCATCCTGAAACCGCCACGCTAACATTTGAACAGCGATGATATGGACCGTTCTACATTATTGCTTTGCGGATAATATGGTATGCTTAAGTGATATGTAATCCCCATTTTGAAACAGAACGATTTATACTCTACGCTCTTAAACGCAGGGACATTGTCAGACACGATAATTTTGCATAACCCATGTTGAGCAAAAATATGTTTCTTTAAGCACTGAATTACCGTTGTAGCAGTATAGTTACGTGTAGGGATCGCCCAAAGAAATTTAGAGAAGGCGTCTAAGGCCAATACATACTTGTTTCCTCCTTGTGAAGTGGGAAGCTGGCCCAAGAAATCAATGTAAAGTTTTACATCGGGCGTTCTACTCTCGTTGATGCCAACTCTCCTATCTTACCAGTTCTATCGGGCTGAACCGTGCGCAAGAAATACAGTTTGCAACGCGAATCCGGATGTCTGTCCGCATTTTTGGGTAAATGAATGCCCTCTTGATTTGGTTTATGTTTTTTAAATCCCAGATGCGCGCCCATAGGAGAGGAATGGTATTGAAAAATCATTTCTTGGCACGAAAACGGTATAACAATCTTAGGGCACTTCAAGGTCCTGGTTTGATAAGTTAGAGTCCTCTTATGATCTATGCGGTAATTTTTTCTCGGATGTCCTTGTTCCATTTCCCTTATCATTTCTCCCAATACGGGATCGTTCTTTTGATGGGTCGACAATGGTGTGAATATTTCCGGATGTTTTACCAAATTAATGAAAGCATAATTCCAACGATTCCCGATCTCCATATCCACTTCTTCTGTAACTGAGATGGGAAAAGGCTTTCGTTTTCCAATATGCCTTTATTAAGGTTTTCAGTTTTCACCTGTTTGGAATGAAATTTCGTTTTTTGGCAGGCGTTCGCTACAATATTCTTCATTAGGTTCATGAATTGGTCATTCCCCATAACCATTTCACATAATGGGATCAATTCGGATCCGGCCATCTCATTTATTTTTAACTTTTGTGTCTTTGTGGTGTTTTGTTCCAATTGCGACAACATTTCGGATGCAACCAACTCGGATTATCCTCGCCATTCCCCATATCTGTTCGAGAAATGTTAATATTCTATAATTCACTAATTTCGTGGTCCGCTTGACCAATTAAATCATTACAATTAATTAAGGTTTTTAGTTGAGATGAAAAAAAGTCAATGGCACGAGCGGGATTCGAACCCACGAACTTCGGCTAGATACGCCGCTGCTCTACCACTTGAGCTATCGTGACCTCGATCCACTCGGACATCAACTTCCTATCTCAACCCCACCTTATGAGTTTTCCCTCCTTTTTGCCATTTTTCAAATGTCGGGTAATCGGTTTGGATTCTCGACGACAATTGAAATGGCCACGGAGATCTTTAGTGAAGTGTACTTCATATTAATTCTTTAAATTCACTAATTTCGTGGTCCGCTTGACCAATTAAATCATTACAATTAATTAAGGTTTTTAGTTGAGATGAAAAATGGCAAAAAGGAGGGAAAACTCATAAGGTGGGGTTGAGATAAGAAGTTGATGTCCGAGTGGATCGAGGTCACGATAGCTCAAGTGGTAGAGCAGCCGGCGTATTAAGCCGAAGATCTTGGGTTCGAATCCCGCTCGTGCCATTGACTTTTTTTCATCTCAACTAAAAACATTAATTAATTGTAATATTCTATAATATTATAAGAAAATAACTCCTAATATTTGTCTCTAAATTATGAGTAATCTCGCCGGTGCCTCCAATTTTTGTGACGACACCAAAATAAAAACGGTACACTCTTTATTGATAAAAAATAACAATTTGAATTGAACGAAAAATAAACTCTTTGATGTATGTGTCCAGAATAGAACAATAAAAATTAAAATTTACTTACAAAAAATATAATAAATCTTTCGAGAGGAATAAGAGGAAGGAAGAATCGTTTGAACACGCTCAGCCAATATCCGAACAACAACAATCTATCTTTCCTGTCCTTCCTCAACCTTAGGGTCTCCCCACTCGAATATATTATCGTCACACAGTCTACTTCAAGCACATACTCATCCAAATTGTGGACAGGGATATATAGAATTATATACTGGCAAACGTCTGACGTGGAATCCTCACACACAGCATAGACGACATGAAGATATAAAACAGTTACTGAGTTCTTTAACTTACCTATCTTAAAGAAAAAGCTGCCTTATATCACCAATGTGAAGCCGATATGAACAAACGTCTGGAGTCTGGGGTTCTGTCAAACATTCCAATATACTCCGCATACAAAGAGCCTAATCCATAATCCTTGATCATCCCTTTTATGTGCCCAAATAAACTGCCATATAGACCATATTCCTTAACCGAGATGTAA